AGTGGCGGCACAGTGGTTAGAATGCAGTAATCCTGGGCTATATGGCATTTAGTTTCTTAGTCTGGTCTACCTTGTTGGGCTGACACCCAGAAACATGCTAGGCAGCACTTCATTGCTGTTCTTGAGATATTAAAACAGACTAGGTGGCCAACTATGAGGTAGGTTAATTTTTTGTACTCCATAAAGTGGAGAATGAACTGGATGATCTCCTTGCTTCATGGTTCTGTTAATTTAGAAATCTACTTATTCAAATGTTGCACAAAAAGGACTTGCATGTAAAAGTGAACTTGTTTTTTGTGGATTATGGGAGTGCCTCTCATTAGGACTTGTTGAATATTTATTTATATTTATATTTATTGCTGGCTAGAAAAAAAACTTATGATTTTTTTTTACCTGAAACAGAAAAAATGAAGTTATGATTTATGTTTTGATGATTATACAAGCTAGTTTATAGAAAGAAAAGATCTATGTTGTAACCATAGAGTAAGAGATAAATTTATAACTGTACTTAAAACTGCTGTAAAGAAGATTGGAAGCCACATCTTTGTATTTTCATTCTTTTTTTCCCTTTTTTTTTACTTTCCCCTCTTTTTTGCTCTTTTATCTTTCTCTTTTCTCTTTTTCTTTTTTTGTATTAGTTTTTAATCTCTTTTTAAAAAGTATATATATCTACATACTACATATATGTATATGTATATATGTATACTGTATAGACTGATTGGATGAACTCAGCTTCACGTTCATCAATATCTAACATGCTTGTCCGTATGATACGATACAATCCTCTATAACAGAGGTCCCCAACCTTTTGGGCACCAGGGACCAGTTACATGGGAGAGGTTTTTCCACAGATCAAAGGGTGCAGGGTGCATGGTTTTGTGTGCTGCCTGCATCCCATGAATGGGGCTTTGCTTATTTGTACTGACCAGTTGCTGGCATGCCACGGGCCCCTGCTCTACAGTCCACCATGGAATTCCTTTGGGAAGAATTGTTCCTTTCTCAATAGCCAATGGCTGGTTTACAAAAATTTGCCTTTTGGCGGTGATTTTGGCTATTAAGTGTCTGATAACATTATACTCTTCCTGGTTGAAATGTTGATCAGCTCTTGCCTTGTGGTTTCATACTTCATGTTTATGCTACTGTAAGCTGTCTTGAGGGGACGAGATATAAATAATTATATCCAAAGGTAGCTTTAAAAAGAGTTGGTTCAAAGCTTTGAAATACAGGCCACTCAGATGATATCTTCAGTATACAATAAATGTCTGAATGCCACCTCCCTTGCAAATGCACAGTGACACATTAGAGGGGACTAGAATTTGTCCCCTTTGAACAAGCAATATTTTTCTTTTTGTACCGTAATTGTATGAAGAGCATTCAAGCAGGGGACACATCTGCTTCTATAAAGATGTGTCCCCTGTTTGAATGCTATAAAGAACATTTCATACAGGTAGTGAATTAGTGTTCCATCAAGAATCACAGACTAAAAGTCATATATATGTGTGTGGAATGTGTGTATATGTATGTATGTGTATATAACAGTATATAACTGTTTTTATTGTTTTAAATATTGTTTTAACAATAAATAACTGGAGTATACTCTTCCCGGAGATCGAAGATTGCATCATTGAATATCTTTGGTTATTCGGGTTTTCTCCCGCGTCAAATTGGAAGTGTCTTGGCGACATTTCGATGAAGTCTCATTTGTCATCTTCAGGCTGGGGTTTTCGGTTTTCAAAGCCGATATATATATATTAGTTTGAGGTGATACAAGGCAAAAGACTTCTCTCTCCCATATTTGGGCAACAGGGTGTAGCATATAGCACTCTAGATAATTCTCCTCCCCTGTTTCTTCCCTCTCTAACACAGTTAACAAAAGTGAGAAAGAGCCTGTGGCCTAGAGGTTAACACATCTGCCTAACATGCAGACTGCCCAGGTTCGAATCTCAGAAGGGTATGTCTAGTTGAAAAGAACTAAAAAGTTCGATATATATATGTTTTCTGAGGTTTTCGCGGGTGTTTGTATGTAGGTCTTCTAGGAGCACAAAGCCGAAAACCCCAGCCTGAAGATGACAAATGAGAAATTTGTCACACTAAGGAGGGATATAGCTTTTTAAACATCCCTATTCAATGCTTCTTTTTTAAAAGGCATTTATATACATGGAAGAAATGTATTAGGTATTATTTTGCTGATTTAACAAAAAAGCTGATTTAACAAAAATGGGAGATCAAATTTGAATAAGACACTATTTATTTAAAGAATACTTCAAGACTGTTTGTTGCTTGGTTCTTTATCCATTGCTATTTCCCACATTTTTAAATATCATGGATTCAAATAAAAATGTATTTTAGTTTTCAGTGTTTTGTTTTCTGGCAGCTAAAAATAAAAATGGCAGAAACAAATTGAGATGTTTCTTCCTCTCTCTATATATGTATGTATGTATGTATTTATGTATGTATGTATGTAATTATAATGCTGAAGACATAATAGTAGTAACTGTGAACTGTGAAGCTGGAAGATGGCATGATTGATTGCATGTGTGCTGGGAGTTCCAGCAATGGAAGTCTGGATTGCATAACTGCATGGTGAATTTTTTTCTTAATTAGCCTGGACTGATCATGTTTGGAACAAAAAGGTGATACCAATGGGCTTGTTAGGTGGTGACTGTCCCCTTAAAAAGCTCACATTGCTGCTCCTGGCTTTTGCTTAGCTTGAATTCCCATCATCTTGAATTATAATTGGTTACTAATTATTAATCTGAGGGGGAAATGTTAAATAAAAATAGGGAGGGTTTTTTTCTCTTCTAAGAGTTCTAAACTGAATTGCATGGTGTATTTTTGACTGGTCCCGGTAATTCTGGTATGGGGGAGAGAGACATTAATTCAAGTGTTAAAACGTTTGAGCTTTGTAGTCTTGTGGGAAGTGGGAATCTTCCTTTGTGTTCAGCTGTGCCAGTTCTGGTTTAAACATTCACGACTTGTATATTTTCTTCCTCCTGATTGTTAAAAATTAAAATTCTGATCATATGCAATTTCATATTTTAAACATGAAATATAATGACTACAGGAATAAAATAGTTGTTTCTGTTCTCATTATAAACATTGATGAGGGTATAAGCTCCATCTTGGTTTAGAAAAGAGATCATATATTTACAGGTAATGTAAAAATGAACACAATCAGAAAAGTGGAAGTATGGTGATGTACACAGCTGCCCTTTCACCTATAGCTAACTGATCACACAAGGGGCAATAAAGACATGAATTTTGGTGTCTAAATCTAGCTACAGCTGCACTATTGAAAAAGAGAAGAAGCAGTATTAGCTTTACCAGCTGTCAATGGAATAATCTATGCCAAAGACTTCATGAGCATGACTTCTTATTGCCTCAATAGAAGCCTTTGTGACACATGTTGCTAATGCATATATGTATAGTTATTTTTTTCTAAAACAATTGTTCCTTTTTTATAGTTCTTTTGGAAAGAAAGGAGATAGAAATAAAGAGAAATAAAACTTAGGAGACTTAGAATAAACTAAAATGAAAGATAATGATAATGATTCAGAGGTAATTTTTTGTGCAAGGTAATATTTTGCGTAAAAATAAGAAAAATATTTCAGAATCATAGTACTTCATTGGGGATCATCTCAATGAAAAATGCTCACTTTCAGATCCTTTTCCTTTCTTAAAAGTTTGCTCTGACATATTCAGTTACAATGGAACTATCTCTAATGCATTCTGTACTTCTGGGTCTTCAGTTACTATGATAATTTTATTATTTCATACAATCAGGCAGAAGGCATTCTTTGGCTCAAGGATCTGAGTACCCACAAATACAAAAAGAATTTGGTTGCATATATTCGGAGGGGGGGGAATATAGAGTTGTAGGAATTATTTGTACAGATCAAACATTTTCTCTGAAACTTGTGAACATATTTAGGTCTATGAAATGATCATCACCATAATTTTTGAGATTCTGTTCAATATAATTCAAAAGTGTATTGATATTTCAGCTTCAGTGCAATTCTTCAATAACTGAATGGAATTCAAGTAGAAGACTAGATCACTGTGCCTGACTAGTAATTATTGAGAAAGAGGAATATTCAAATAATTCAGATAGCATAGGATAGATCTTGTGGTTTGCGTACATTCCTTTGCGGTTACAAACACAGTCTAATCCCAGCAAAGAACAGATTTGTGGCTGGATGAGAATAAAATGGGACAGGAATCGGTTATGGGTCAAGGAACATTAATTGATTTGTGGGAATGGCTTGGAATACACCAAACTGTTGGATGCATTTTTGGACCAAATTACATGTGATTTACCTGGTATGAATAAACATGCCTAGATGTACTGGAAGCAGCAAGCTTGATTTACTGGTATAAGGATAGAAAGACGTTAACAATTTGGTTTCTTTTTATTTTTTGTTGTTTCGTGTCTTTTAATTTTTCTTGCTTGGGTATTTTTTTACCACTTTTCTGCTCATTACATACAGTTACCCTTAAATTGAATAGCGCAGTGGATATATATTCATGTCTCAAATTCATGAGTCTAGATGGCTAACAACAGTTAGCAAACAGGTCATAAAATTGGACATGACTCAGTTAACCCCCTGCTTAACCATGGAAATTCTGGTCTCAATGATGGTCATAAGCCAAAATATATGTGTCTATCTCCAAGCTTTTTCTAAATACTAAAGAGCCTCCATGCAAAATTTCTTTCCCACCTCAATTAGAAGTTTGGGTATAGATCTGACCATTATTACAGAATTCCATGTTTTACGCTGTCTACTTTTGCACTAAAAAAAAGCCAAACCCAATTTAAGCCCTTAATCTTTCCTCAGTGCTAAAATATTGGATTATTTATTTATTTTGGTGAGAGTCCAAAGAACTTTTCATAGAGTTTAATTGACATAATAAACCTAAGTTTACATCTAATCCAAAAGTCTTTCTAAAATTAAAAGATGTCTATAAAGGGTTCATTTTCCATTTTCTATCCTCATTTTCAGAGACTGTGAGCCTTCGGCCAATAGCTGTAACCTGATTTACCAAACTAACTCATCTGGATTGAGGAGGTGAAAGCAAAGCCCCTCTTCATCCTTTGAAGAGGTTTCATCTTCTCTGAGATCTCCAGAACTTCACTGAGGGAAAAGGTAACACATGAATGAGAGTGCCATGATCGTAGCTGAAGATTGTTTTCCTAGAAAGAGGTGGCTGTTAAAATCCCCATGTCCCTTTCTGATTATCTACTTTATCTATTGAGATTATCTGAAATATATAGGTTGGTTTGAGCATTGCTTTCAGTGGGGCTTGAGTTGTGATTTCCCTAAGCATAGAACCCAGAGAGAATGAGTAGGAAAATATTGAATAGTCCAACTATGAAACCATTAATAGATTCTATTTTAAACCATATCTTTCGGTTTGTACGTCAAAGCTGTCTTGCGCAAATATTTCTGTAAATCCTAAAAGGGCATTGTCAATTAAAGTGTAATTGTACAGGTGACCAAAGATAAATGCAAAACGTCCCATTTCGACATTTGTTTTTCTGATCTTAAATGTGATCTAGTCTATTAAGTTGGCCAATTGCCATATGAATAAATGAATAGTATAGTTGGAGTCATCACCACATGTGGCAGATCATTACCAGTTTTTGTACCTGTTCTAGGATCGTAGTCATCAGTGGGAACCCTTAAACAGGATGTGAATGAAAACCTTCACCCAGTGTAAGAAGATAATTATAGGCAGGTGTATAAATTAACAATATATGGTAAGGAAGTTTGATTATATCATTTCTGGACCTGCTTTTATTGGAAGCAACTGTTAAAATACATAAGGGAGAGGGGCACACTGACCATGAAATTGATAATTCAGAATTATGATTCTCTAGTTTTCTTCAACTTTGTGCACTTCAGATGTATAATTTAGAACTGATATCATTCCAGTCAGGGTACATTGCTTTGAGATTGGCCAGTATAAAATGGTAGAGGGAGAAAAAGCCAACAATAATTCTGAAGATATTAAGTTTGATATTAAGATAAGTTAACTTATAGAGTTTTACAAGTGGGAAATTTTCAACCAATTAAAAAAGATTTCTTTATGATTGAGGAGAAAAATGTGGGGCTCTCGAGAAGAAGTATGTCTTAACATTGGATAAACGTTAGATCTGTTGTAGGTCATTCCACCAGTTCTCCACTACTGTACTTTCTGATGAGCATTCTTCATCCAAAAGAGGAAGAGGAACAAGTAGAGAATCATGTTCAAAGACCAGATTTCCACAGAAAGAAACATTGCAAACACCAACTTACACTGATGCTGTACCTTCAAGCTTGAGAAATTACTTGAAAATGTTGGCTCTGATATGAAGCACTTAGTTGAAGCCGAGGCTTTACAAGATCGGTTTATGCCCATACTATATAATGACCTAGTTTTCTTAAGAAGTCTAAAATGGTGGGAAAGGTTGGAAGAAAAAGAAGAGGAGGGAAACCAGTAACAACATAGTTGGTACAATGTTAGAAGATCTGAAGGTTTGAAGATAAACCATCCTCATAATAATAGTCAATTGATTATAAGGGTAGAGGGCTGTCTTCTCTTAGATCTTGCCTCCTTACTGGCTGAAAATTGTTGCTAATTTCTTCTTTAAGTAATAATATTTTCTTAACAGGACCTTGTTATTTAAGATTATTGGATGATTTAATTTGTTGAATATATTGCATTTTTTCTTGTATCGCTTCTCGTAGAAATTCAGTAGACAACATGTCATTCCGCTGAGTCATTATTTCAGAAATATTTCCTTACCTGAACAGTGAACAGAATGATCACAGGCTGGCAAAAAGGCATTAGGAGTGGGAGAGAATTCTGACTTACTTCTGGCTTCTCCATAGACTTTCCTTGTGTAAAACTGGCAGGAAGCATTGGAAAAAATGATCATGTGACCAAAGTTGAGTGTGGCAATGTTGAAGCAACCACAATTTTGCCAAATTTTAAACCCACCAAAGTAACGGGTCCCAGATTTTGAATGCATTCTTTAAGTTAGCCCATTTGAGGTATGTTGATTCAAAAATTGTTGCCCTATACTGTTTCACCCAAATGAAGTTTACAGCTAACCAAACAGGCAGGAGAGTTTTAGTAATATATGATAGCAATAACAATAGCACTTAGATTTATATACCACCCCATAGTGCTTTACTGCAGTCTCTTCATAGTTTATAATGTCAGCATCCAACAACCTGGATACTCATTCTATCAACTTGGAAGGATGGAAGGCTAAGTCAGCCTTTTGAGCTTGTCAGGATCGACTTGCAATACTGCATTCTAACCGCTGTACCACCAAGGCTCAATATACATTTGGGAAAGACTGTTAGACTCTTTTAAGAGTAGCTCTTCTATTTGTCCTTCTTCTATTTCTGGAAAAGTTGGGGGGCAAACAGAAAGAGAGGTGCATCTCACAATTGGACATTTATTTTATGAGCTAAAATGAAGCTCAAGGGGATTTTATGTCAGCTTCAAACTCCTTCTCTTGCTTTGAAGTCTTCTGTCCATTCTGAAACTTGGTAACATATGTACTACATACAAGTAACAGTGTGTACCTGAGAACTGAGCTTTAATTTATTTTTACAATATTGAGCCAACCTGCTTTTCAAAACAAGCTGTGTGTCTTTCAAAGAATAAAAATACACAGCCAGCAATGTATGCAGAGAAAGTCTATTTTCTCTCTCTTTTTACATCTAATTTGACATTCTGTATTCAAAAAGAAAAATCTCCCAAGAAATTTGCTATTAAACAGATTGTGAAAACAATAGAGAGCAGGGAAAGAAATATGCATTGAAGATATCAAAAGTTACTGTTCCTTTTTTTTTTCAGATATGCTTCTGATGGTTTCACTGTGTATTTGCTATTTCATGGGTAAACCAATCTTGAGATTGATAACATGTAATTTGCCAAAAGTCACCTACTGACCATCTGGCTGGGCACTTCATCAAACTGAGGATGGAGTTAACTTCCATCTACAGACCATCATTGTTATTCTTAGCCCAACTAATTATCTGTATGTGTAGAAGTGGTTTTAAGATAATTCTAAATATTCTGTTTTCTTTTTCTTGGCAAACTAATTTGATAGAAAACTTATCCAATTGGTTGAATCGTGTTCTGGCAGAACACAACTATAAACATCTATTGTCTCCAAAAATGTTTTGGCTATTGAATATATGAAATAGATTACTGATCTGGGGGGGGAGGGGACTTCTATTGATTCCCCAGTTCCTAATTCTTCAGTTTCTAGAAGGATGAATAGCTCCACAGGTTTCAAAGAGACAGGACAGCAGGTGAGTTCTGTGTTAATTCATTTATTTGTCACTGCAATCAATGGACTCTCAGTGATTTGCAGTAATTAAGAGCTCAAACAAACAATTATAATTAAAGCATTCAGTGTAAATAAACTCCATAAACCATAACAAATAGCATCAGTCAGTCATCAGCATCTCATCACTTTCCCAAAGTCCTTAAAAAATTGGTTTTTAATAATTTCTGGAATGCTAGTAATGAAGGGGCCAGCCTGATTTCTAAGGGGAGGCAATTCTCTAGTATAAGGTCCCATAGCTGATAAACAACACCAAGCTTGGGAAGTCACCAGCATTTGTTCCTTAGATAGTTTGGTTGAGTAGATCAGACATGTCAAACTTGTGATGTCACGTGATGTCACGCAAAGTATCGGAATGGTTTTGCCATTGCCAGCAATGGGGTGGGCGCGGCTTCCGGATGACGCATCCAGCCCGCGAGCTGGCAGTTTGACACTGGAGTAAATGAATTTTGTTTGGATAAAGTGGTTCTGCAAATACTTGAGTGCCAATCTATATAACTTTAATGGCAATAACCAGCACTTCGCATTTCACCTAGAAGCTAATAGGAAGCCAATGCAAGCTCTGAGCAATGACTGGGCATCGTATTCTGGACTAGCTAGAGCTGCCAGATGATCTTCAATGGCAACCCAAGTATGATGTATTGAAATATTTTAATCAGGTACTCATGAGGGCATGAATCACTATTGCAAGTTCCTCCTGCTGAACAGAGGACACGATCAATGCACTAACTGAGATTGGATCCTGATCCTGACCTCCATCTGCTTATATACCACGTCACAGTGCTTTACAGCCCTCTCTAAGTGGTTTACAGAGTAGCATATTGCCCCCAACAATCTGGGTCCTCATTTTACCACCGCGAAAGGATGGAAGGTTGAGTCAACCTTGAGCTAGTCAGAATCAAACTCATGGCAGTGAGCAGTGAGTTAGCCTGCAATACTCCATTCTAACCATCACGACAGGAAGGAAGGAAGGAAGGAAGGAAGGAAGGAAGGAAGGAAGGAAAGGAAGGAAGGAAGGAAGGAAGGAAGGAAGGAAGGAAGGAAGGAAGGAAGGAAGGAAGGACAGGTATTTCTCATGGCAGATACTAGTAATTCTGGGAACTTAGGGACAACTTTGACACCAATTACCTCAACAACTAGCAGGTAAAAATTGTTGCCAGTAACATCAAAAATAAGAATAAAATTATTCAAGTTTAATGAAAAACCACTGTTCCCATCCATTTAGTTTGTGGGAAAGTGATGATAAAGAAATGTATTGTGCATATGTGGCGAGAGAGCATGCAAATAAACATCCCATTCACATCTACTCAGCAGAAAGCCTGAATTCCTGAAAAAATTACAGTATTAAAAAACAAAACCATAGGTTACTGACTTGGAAAAACCACTGTTCCCTAATGTGAATGTTGTATTGCTGTGCTGTCTTGTTATTATGTCATTGTGTGACACAGTGCTATTTTCTTAGTGATTTTGCTGTTTCTTTATTGTTCAATGGCCAAATAACTGTCTAATTTCAACTATAGAATTACCACACTGAAAAGAAAGAAAGATTGGTAACACATGGAGCTAATGATAAATCAGTCATAACATTCCCCACCCATTATAGAATAGTAGACATAATCTTGGCATTTCTTTTTAATGACCAAAGATTTTTGCAGTTGTTTACTCATTTTCTTCTGAAGACATTTGGAAAGATAGTATTCCATTTTGCAGAGTATTCAAGTATTCAGGTCATAGTCAGTTCTTTCAAATTACATGGTTAGGATGAATTTGATCTCAAATTACTTTTGTCCAAATCCA